CAGCAGAATTTTTTTTGTAGCCTTGGCCAGATCTGTGCCTTGCCACAATTCTGTCTCTGAGCTCTTCAGGCAGTTCCTTTGACCTCATGATTCTCATTTGCTCTGACATGCACTGTGAGCTGTAAGGTCTTATATAGACGGGTGTGTGGCTTTCCTAATCAAGTCCAGTCAGTATAATCAAACACAGCTGGACTCAAATGAGGGTGTAGAACCATCTCAAGGATGATCGGAAGAAATGGACAGCACCTGAGTTAAATATTTGAGTGTCACAGCAAAGGGTCTGAATACTTAGGACCATGTGATATTTCAGTTTTTCTTTTTTAATAAATCTGCAAAAATGTCAACAATTCTGTGTTTTTCTGTCAATATGGGGTGCTGTGTGTACATTAATGAGGAAAAAAAATTTACTTAAATGATTTTAGCAAATGGCTGCAATATAACAAAGAGTGAAAAATTTAAGGGGGTCTGAATACTTTCCGTACCCACTGTATATAGACAGACAGAAAGACAGATAGAGAGAGATAGATAGATAGATAGATAGATAGATAGATAGATAGATAGATAGATAGATAGATAGATAATATAATATAATGATATAATATAATGTCACTTTTGTCATTTAATTTCATTCAGACATTCTTGACACACACAATATATTGAAGTTTGGGGTCTGTGTTTTTTTTTTTACTTTTATTCAGTATGGAATCATTAAATTGATCACAAGTGACATTACGTACATGCATAATGTTACAAAATATTTATATTTAAAGCAAATGCTACAGTACATCCTGAAAAGTGATCGTTTCCACAAAAATATTAAACAGCAAAAACAGTTTTCATCACTGTTAATAATAAGAAATGTTGTGTGCAGCCAATCAGAATATTAGAATGAGTTCTGGAGGATCATGTGACACTGAAGACTGGAGCAACGGTGCTGAAAATTCAGCTTTGACTCACAGGAATAAATTGTAATATATTCAATTAGAATACCGTTTTTTTTTTTTTTTTTGCAATAATATTTCACAACATTATCGTTTATCTATTTTTGAGTAAATAAATGCAGCTTTTGGTGAGCAGACAGGACTTCTTTCAAAAACGTTAAAAACGAATATGTTCTCTTAGCCCTTATGCTAAAAAAATGTGTTTTATAATGACACAGATTGTCCCAGAACGTGACTCATCATAAGTAAGTGAAGTGCTGCCAAATCTTTCAAAGTTCTTTCATATCAGCCCTTCACAAAAAGACATTTCTCATTCAAAATATTCCACTTATGTATTAATAATACCTCCAGTTCTTCTTTGCCCTCACCACGCTTTCTCAATAGAATACAGATATTCTTTTTGGGTCATTAATCTGAGCCAGCGGGGCACATGAATCCCTCCTCTAGAATCCATGCTTCAGATTTGTTCTCTTCATTCTGTCACTAGAAAAGGACTGTGTCTGTGAAACTCTAGTATGGTTGCTTTGGCCATCTCATATGTTTCTGCTAAAAACCTCTTCAGCGTTTCTGCTAAACACGTTATTAACATGGTACAGGCTAATATTAAGCACATATGAAGTACTGGATGGTAACACTTTATTTTAAGGTATTCTTGTTACATTATACATGCACTTACTATTATAATAACAATAAATGATTCATAATTACATGCAGGTAACCCTAACCATATAGTAAGTAAATGTAGTTAATCAATATTACTCGGTACTTAAATGTTTAATTACACTGTAACAAGGACACCTTAAAATAAAGTGTAACCTACTGGATTATAATTGTACTTATAGTGTGTTATTTGTTATTTCATTTATTCACGTTATTATTTTAAATTGACTAAATTGCAACTTAATTATTACAACTGTGTAATTACAAGTATATTTAAGTACATGGCATACAAGTCGGTGAAAAAACAAGCTCTCTTGAGTTCAACTAGTTGCATTTTATGTCGATTTAAACTATGTATTTCATTCAATTATAAATAACATGCAATTAAGTGCCCAAAAATGTAAGTATTTTCTTTTAAAATACATTATTTTCATGATACATACTCTTTTTAAAAGTATGCTAAAATGTACTTTTTCACAAGAGGTGGCTGTGCTTTTTCATTTATATATTAGGCTCTATTCATCAATGGCAAAACATGTGCTGACATTTATTTTACTGTTTTGGTGTCTGCAATGCTGCTCCCAAAAGCTGCTTCTCAACCTACTAAACAGTGGAATTACTTAATAATAACTGACGAAGCTCAGAATCATACAGCAAGTCAGTTAATATCAGTTCACGCAATTTAGGACGATTGTGTTTGTATCAACATGGACCATACTGGAGTTTACATGAACTGTTCTACCTTTTTAGCCGACCTGGTGTTCGGTTTGCGGGTGCACACCTGTGTTCGGAAAATCCACCAGTTCACGGTAAAATTCACATCATCCAAACAAACCGAAGTCTGACGTCAAACATACCCGAGTATGCAAAGGTTCTAGTGAGAAAGCACCCTTAGTGAGTTTAGAAATGTATAAATATGTCAATTCAAAGAGCAATGTTATAGTGGAACTGCATGAGGCATATTTTGTCTGACAGTCTACTATCCGAAAATGATGTTCAAAATCTTTCTCGTTTTTTTTTTTTCTTTTTTTTTTTCATTGTTGCTAGGTCGCTTTAGAGTTCAAGGAATCACTATCTTCAAGAGATGTGCGAGAGCAAGATAAATATTTTGAGGTGGAGACAGAAATATCGATTATGTGATTTGGTTGAGGAAGAATGAAAGAATGGCAGTCTTTGATGAGAATGTCACGCTTTGTAGCAGCTGAGCCTGGGGTGATCTTCAATGACAACAGGACCGATGAACGGAGAGAGAGAGAGAGAGAGAGAGGAGATAGTTATTGAAAGGGAGGTTGAACTACAGAAATACAAAAACTGTGCCCTAACCAGAGACAAAGTGTCCAGCATCAAGTGTTTTTGTCTGTTCTCACTGAAAGCAAATGCTGAGTGAAGTGACAATCACAGCCAATAAGAACTCATTTCATATCCCATACAGCTGTGGCTCAAATGCTGCCTACAGACATCACAGCCCTTTTCAAATGGGACACCCTATGTTGTCCCACCCTGCTTCTCAGACACTAGACCGCAAGTACACAGCACCTGTGCCATTTGGGAAAACCCAGCGTGAAATGGGATCTTTTGGAAATGGGAAATTTTGGATCAAAGTGGTCCGTGATACTCAGAGAAAGCTAGCATTTTCATTCACCTCAATGGCACTTTTTGGACAATTGAAACACCCAAGACCATTGCATGAAACATTGTCCCTCAGAAACAACCCTCTGCTACCTTCTACAAGTTCTTTTAGTGCTCTTGAGGTCAAAGCACAGGATGTGTTCAGCGTTTTATGTGAACTGAACTGTTAAAAGGCAGTAGGAGCTGACCAGTATCTCCAGC